AATAAGAAGAAAAATTACAAACAGACAGAACCATACCAATAATTTGAGTTTATGATATTTGTAGTATGGATACTTCAAATATCATAAAATCAAATTAACTTATCGCGGGTTGGAGCCTTTTTGCATAACTACGTCCAAATGTAAATGTAAATGATGAGCCCACAGCATCCACTTACCATCAGATGGACTGTGATATCTTCTAATATATAAAAATTAAATTTTGATTGTTCGTATTTTATGCGTTGCCATACTGTTCATCAGATTGCGAAAAAAAATTTCAACTTATTGCTTGCACTTGCGCGAAGGTTAAAGGCATAGTACAATTAATTTCAGTTGGTAGTGCGCGTGTAGTACCGACATAATTTATTTGAAAGCCATATGTCATTTAATATCAATAAATTGGTCTCAGAGCTTATGACGCATTTTTCATGAAGTGTTTGATGCAACATGAAACTTTGTTGAAAAGTATCAATCCATAAACACTCACGCCTGTCACCCAGAGGGGTAGGCAGCGACTATGGACTTTTGGACCATTTGGCACGATCCTGACACACCTCTCTCGCTTCTTCCACATCCATATACCTACGCGTACACGCTCGTCGGTTAAAGGTACTCTTGATTTGGCCCATTTTCAATATATCGCCAATTTGGTCGATAAACTATCGCCTAGGGCGTCCCTTACCGACTCTGCCGTTCACCTCTGCAACATAAATTTGCTTTGTCACTCTTTCCTCATTCATTCTTTCTACATGACCAAACCACCGAAGCATTCCTTTCTTAATCCTGGTCACAACATCATCTTGCAAACCACACTCTTCTCTTATCACACAATTTCTCACTCTGTCATTCAGATTCATCCCTAACATACTCCTTAATGACCGCATTTCTACAGCATTTATTCTACTCTCGTGCTTCTTCTGCCACACCCAACTTTCACTACCATACATTAAAGTAGGGACTAACACAGCATTGTGAATTGTCATACGTGCCTTTTTGGACACATTCTGACTTCTCACAATAGGGTGTAGAGCCCCATTCACTCGTATTTCCTGCATTCACTCGTCGTTCTATATCCTTATCATGTCTACCATCCCTGCTAAATACACATCCCAAATACACAATTTCATCTACTTGCTCGACCAACTCCCCTTCTATTCTTATTTCACATATCGTTTTACTTTCTTCTCTTTCAAAAACCATAACTTTCGTCTTACTTGCGTTTACTTTCATGCCCTTTTCTTTTAATATCCTGTTCATTAATGTAACCATTATTAGCAAATAATGGTTACATTAATGAATCGTCGTCGGCGGCCGAGTTGCTACTGACTTGATCATCGGCGTACAAAAGGCATTTGACTGTTAACTCACACATTTTTAACCCGCATTCTTCTACTTTAAAATTTTCCAAATAACTGGCCATAAATAGGTTGAACAGCCACGGGGAAGCCACACAGCCCTGTCTGACACCTTTATGGATGCCAAACCAGGCCGAGTAGGACCCGTTGATCCTGACACAAGCACTAGAGTCCCTATACAAATACTTCAATGCCTGTATCAACTCAAATGAGTTCAGTGTTTGCCATAACACACCCCTGTCCACTCTGTCATAAGCCTTCTCCAAGTCTATGAACGCACAAAAAACTTTTTGGTTTTTGGCCAAAAACTTCTCCGCGATCATGCGCATGGAAAAAACCTGATCTGTACATCCCATTCCCTTTCTAAATCCCGCTTGCACATCCCAAATTTTTCCATCAGTTTCTTTCATAACTCTCAATTAGTACCTTAGCATACAGTTTTCCCACAATGCTAAGAAGGCTGATACCACGGTAGTTTTTACAGTCCTGCTGTGATCCTTTTCCCTTATATATTGGGACTATTACGGATTTGCACCAGTGTACCGGTACCCGCTTAAGTTCCCAACTTAAATTAAACAAGGTGTACAGCAGGTCTGCCACCACTCCTTCTCCAGCCCTTAGCATTTCGAAAGATACTCTATCATATCCGGCTGCTAAGGCAGCAGGTAAGCCTGCTTTCATACTTTTAATTGCTTTCATTATTTCATCTATACTTATGTCTCTATCTATTTCCTCTTCTTTCGGAATTTCTATTTCATTTAATTCAAACGTCTCATCACTCATAAACACACTTTCAAAGTATTCCTTCTATCTACTTAAACTAAAAATTTCGTCATTCAGAATACAGCCATTCTGGTCTCGTATAGCATTCATTCTAGGCTGTTTTGAATGTCCCCAGTTCTTACAAATTTCCAGAACATTTTAATGTTTGCCCGAAAGTTATCCGATATTCTTCTATCATTCTTATCCGTTCTTTCTTGCTTTTTCCTTTCAACTACTTCTTTTAATCTCTTATTTAGATGTCTACAGACTGCCTTTTCCCTTTCAATATCATCATTCATACCGCTAGAATTACTAGCCTTGGTTGCTAGTAAATCTAGCCATGCTTTCTTCTTTGCTTCAACTTCCATCCGTACCCCATCATCTTACCATAACGTGTTATTTTTCCTTTCATTCGTTCTCTTACTTACACCATATACTTCGGTAGCTGCATCCACCAAACCTTTCTTGACATTATATCACACAGTCTCCAAGCCTAAATCATTCATACACAATTCAGCCATACCACTTATATTTTCTCTCAATCTACATTTGAACTTATCTTTTACACCTTCATCTTGTAACCTCTCTGTTCTTATACGCTGTAACGCAGTGGTAGACACATATGTCCAATGCCGCCAACGTCTGAAAAGACCATTAATTCGGCATAAAATCAAGTAATGGTCCGTCCCTACGTTAGACCCCCGGTAAACCTTTGTCTCTACCACCGCGCTCCTCATTCTTTCATCAACAATTATGAAATCTATCATACTTCTATCATCACTTCTTTGCCATGTATACGTGTGAATCTTCTTATGACGAAAGAAAGTGTAAGTCACAAAAAGATTCTTTTCCACACATACGGTGAGGAGGCTTTCACCATTCTCATACTTTCATCACCAAACGTTCCCAATATCCTTTCATAACCAAGCCTGCTTACCCCAACCCTTCCATTAAAATCTCCTAATATCACAATATTTTCATTACCCTTGCATTTCATTAGCACCATCCTTACAAACTCCCAAAACTGCTCTCGGATATAAGTGGGCTTAGGGTCTGGGGCGTAGACCCCTAGAATAAACAACTTCTTTAAGCCCACTTTTATTCGTAACCATAGCAGTCTCGGGCTTACACATTCATACTCTTTCACACAATGACCCATTCTTTCTAAAAGGATGATACCGACTCCCTAACATGTCCGCTCGGTCTCGTCTACACCAGACCAGTACGCGGTATACATGCCTTGTCTAGTGGCATCCTTTCCCTTCCGTTTCGTCTCATTTACACATAACACGTCTATTCATCTATCACACATCATATCGTATACTTCATCCATCTTATCATTCATTGCTCCACATACATTCAACGTAGCCAGACGGGCTTCCGCAATCCACTCCCCCCCCCCGGGGGACAGAACGTGACTGGTGGCGAACCTCGTCGCCGGTTTTCCCCCCGGAGATTCTTCGCACCCCTGTCCCATTAAAGGGGCGCCGGGAACTCGGGGCCATTTCATAAATGTTTTGCGTCATCGTGCGAAAGTAGGGGATGGTATTTTTTACGCCGCTACCACACGGCGAGGAGCCGAGTCTGTTCTTTCAGATTTGTCGCTTGTATAGCACCACCCGGGGGACACATGTAGTGTGGGCTTAGGATTAGGTGGTCGAAGCTTACGGTCGCGAGCGACTCATCCCCCTAGTATCAGTCCACTTAATAATTAAAATAATATATTATATTCATACTAATATTATAAACGTGATAGTTTGTAAGGATGTATGGATGTTTGTTACTCTTTCACGCAAAAACTACTAAATGGATTTTTATGAAACTTTACAATTATATAGCTCATATATCAGAATATCACATCAGCTATAATTAATAAAGATATTGTGTAAATTGAACAAAATATATATAAATGTTAAGTAAGACGAAAAACAAAACACGATGTCTGTCTGGACTCTGAACACGCATGCCGCAAAAACCTGTGAACGGATATGGATGGGACTTTCACTGTGCTGATGTAATAAGGAGTAGCTTAGGCTACTTTTATTTTAGGGTTCTGCGCAAAATAATTCCACGCGGATGAAGTCGCGGGGAACAGCTAGTATATTATGTAAATATAATACAATTACGCGTTATATCACGACTATGCATAATTATCTTACATTTCAATTGTAACAGCTGTACAAGATCACGTGATCCGCAGCCAATGGGAGCGCAAAGAATGACTAAGGGCATATCGGCGACCGTCGCTCTCTGTCGCACTCATTGCAACCCGTAGCACATATTTTGTTTCTTGTCCACGCAAGATTTATTCAAATATTTTTAAATTAATGATCCTCGGAGAAACTGTCTGCCTTTTTGTGAGAATTATTTATTTCATATAATAAACACGCTGTAAAATGGCAGATTAAATTAAACACTTTTTTTTTTGGAATCTTTGAAAATACAACTTTGGGGTAGTTTGTCCCTATGTTCAACCCCTTCAGAAGTGTCTGCCAATTTTTTTTCTTAATTCTTTATCAATTTATCTGACGGATGGTCATTATTTGAATCAAACACTTTTTTTGACTTACCTGTATGCGCAGTGCCAGGGGTACCTACCCAGGTAGGCCTGGCAAACAGTCATCTATCTGCTTATTGAGTGGACTGATAATTTTCAACAAAGTTTCATGATGCATCCATCACTTCATGAAAAATGCGTCATGAGCTCTCGGATCAAATGTATTATCATTCCTAATTAAACAATATAACGCTTCCAAATTTAAAACGATACTTCCACAAATATTTTTCTGTAAAAAAAAAATACTGATAAGAATAAAATATGCAAAACTCGCAAGAATGAAGCCTATGTATATAGGTGATTAAGAATGTGTTCTTTTGTTTCAGTCGAAGCAGCGGGCGTCGATTAAATGGCTGCTGTCGAAGGCGTTCAACAACAGGGTCCCGGAGAATCTTCAAGAGCCCTTCTATAGGGATCATGAGGTCAGTTAACTTTGTAGCATCTATTGAGTTTACTATAATTACGATAATCGCATTCGATTATTGGCTAAGTCTCAGAGCAATCAAACTATTTATGGGCTAAGTGGTCTGAGTGTACCTCACTACCGGATTGTAATGCTTGGGTTGGAATTCCATCCGAAGCCAGCATTTGTGTAAATTCATGATTTAATATCCCACTTTACTTTTACTATCAGACAACCAAAGGGTCACACCATTTAATGTCGACATTCCACCCATTCGAATTAAACGGTTTGCTTGGTGTTTCATAATGCATAGAACAAAGGACAGTAATAATTTGCCAGCATCTGTCTTTTCGTCCTTTTTTTTTTATAGAACGAGGGTGACAAACGAAGTATCATCAGAAGTTATTAATTTAGTTTCGTTGTCGAAAATAGCATAATAAAAGATTAAAACTCGACTTTAGTTATCATAACATCTATCTAGTTTAGATTTATATAAAGGCAATGTTACTACTGTAGAAGTATATTCTATTGGTGTTTAAATGATCAGTTAAATCGTTTTTCTAATCCGGGAGTGTTACATTCATTAAAAATATATATATTCGAATAGATAACTTTATTTGAAGTGGGTTAAAAATATGTTTGAAGATATATTTTATTCGGGCGTCATTTAGATTTTTTAAAATAATCATCAATGCCCATTAATTTTACTTTCTAATTTTTTCATTTACACAAAAAAAAAACTTGTTCAAGTTTTTCGGATAAAATATTTAGCTAAGATCGCTGCTGACGGTGCTCTTTATCTGTTTATGAAGTTTCATCACAATCGGATCAGCCCTTATAGTATACATAAGCAAACCTTTCTTATGTATACTCGTAAAGTTTAGACAAATTGAAGATTAGCGCGGACGTATAGACAGACAGACAAATTAATTCATTACAGCCTGAATATAGGCATCCTCTACAGATTGACTTATAGAAGGGATATTGTTGATAATTATGTAGTTGTTACGGTTGGTAGGCAGGTTAACAACCCGAGTTTTTTTTTCATTGTTGCGTTGATATCGGAAAAATACTGCTGCTCCTGTTGCTCTGCTGCTCCTGCTGCTCCTGATGATCCTGCTGCTCTTTCAGTTTCCTTATCGCCTCTTACGACACCTATAGGATGTTATATGGAATATTGTATTAGATTATCTTACGCCGCCACTACATGCCACTAATGACTATAAAAATATTACAATATTATGGTAAGTGATTTTATCTTATCTGTTTTATAGAAGTTGCGTGCATACATAACATCAGGTAACGGTGATATAGTCAGATTCCTAATTAAAGTAATCAACAAAGATAAAAGAGCATTGCTCCCATGTTCAGTTTACTTTTCATGTGTTTCGTTATGAAATAGTGTTGTTCATTATGAGATACGCTGTAGCTGTGTTATGCTTGCAGCACGAATGGGTACCACGCTTTCACAGAATACCAACATAAAATAGCAGCTTAAAGCCGCGTATCGATTATGCGCTCCAAGAAGTCGAACATTGGTGCGCGTTCCAGCCGCGCGAAATGGATACCGCCTTGGAACGCGCGCCAAATTGTTCGTTGGAACCCGTGCCAATTTGGACGGTTGTTTTCATCATTCGTGTGTTCGTTGCGTTCCGAACTATGGATAACCAGAGCTGCCATAAATTGATAAAATTATATGGTTCAAAATACCTGCTGTGCAAAAGTAGTTTTTATCATAATAAAGCGCTCAAAGAAGATGCATGGAACTATGAAAGCGGCACGTACACGACCGACATCCATGTTGAACGGTCAAACACTGAAACGGCTGCGCCAGGCGCGCTTAGTTGATATAGTTCGAACACTTGGAACGCGTTCAGCGGAACGCACTGGTCGGCGCGTCATTCATGGCGCGCGCACCAGGAGCGCGTAATCGATACGCGGCTTAATGCTGCTGTGTTTTGTACGTACTGTGTGTGTAGAGAACTGGAGGCTCTTTTTACTATAATCGAGGCATTCCATCTTAGTCGTCAGGGGTGACAACGCATCTGCATTTTGATTCCTAATCTTTTAAAAGAACGTTATCTTCACACTAAAATTTTCTCCTGTATTTTGAGGGCAGTTTGCGTACATAAATTGCACAAGGGTAATCAGCCAGACCCGGAACAATTATTTGTAGGCCATACAAATACTTGTTCCGAGCGGGATTCGAACCTGCGACTCTTAGCGCTGAAACTCATTGCTAAGCCACTGTGTCACGCAGCCGTCAATTGATGATAGATGTGGACGTCTATAGGTCACAGCATTCACTTACCATCAACACATCATTGGCTGGGGACAAAAATGTATCCCCCGATTATATCCACTGACAAGAGATAAAATTATCTTGTCCTTATGCCAAAACACGGCAACGAAGAGACGTATATCCCCGTTCGATATAATGAGTAACATTTTCCCCCGTCCGTAGAATGGAGCCAAATGAAAGATAAAAATTATGCTTTTTTGACATTTGAAAGGGACAAATTTATTTTTCATTGAACGTGGGTTTAAGTTTATATTCATACAAAAAAAAATTATGTAAGTCTATCTCCCATTTTATCTACTGTGGATATTATATCCACCGGTGTGCCCATGCTCGAAGAGTGGATAAAACTAAGCGAGGGGATAAACATTTTGTCCTTTCCCCGGGGATAAAATTGTCTCCTGCCCATGCTAGTCCTGCTGATAGACTGTGTGCTCGTTTGTCACCCTTATCCTATAAAAAAAAACTCTTAAAGTAGTAACTCTTAGTAGTTTGCTTAAATAGCTTAATTACATTGAGGATAAAAAATAAAGAACATTAATTGTTTTGTAAACTTTATTTATTTATTATTTATGGCTTTTATTTATTCGTTTTAGCCGTGGTAGAGCCATACTACAGCTATATTAGTAGTATAGTTGTAGCACAAATGGGTCGGCTGGACTGGGGAAGGACCACGCTCTCACAGAATACCAGCGTAAAATAGCAGCTTAACACTGCTGTGTTTCGTATGGTGAGTTTAGAAAACCCGAGACCCTTTTTTACTGGAAAAGAGGCATTCCATCGTAGTCCTCACGGGTGACAAAGCATCTGCATTTTGATTCCTAATCTTTTAAAAGAACGTTACCTTTACACTAAGATTTTCTCCTGTATTTTGAGGGCAGTTTGCATACATAAATTGCACAAGGGCAAACAGCCAGACCCGGAACAATTATTTGTAGGCCATACAAATGCTTGTTCCGAGCGGGATTCGAACCCGCGACTCTTAGCGCTGAAACTCATTGCTAAGCCACTGTGTCACGCAGCCGTCAATTGATGATAGATGTGGACGCCTATAGGTCACAACATTCACTTACCATCAATACATCATGGGCTGGGGACAAAAATGTATCCCCCGATTATATCCACTGACAAGAGATAAAATTATCTTGTCCTTATGCCAAAACACGGCAACGGATAGAAGTATATCCCCGTTTGACATAACGAGTAGATTACGATAAATTTAACACTGCTATGTTTCGTATGGTGAGTGTAGAGAACCGGAGACCCTTTTTACTGGAAAAGGGGCATTCCATCTTAGTCCTCACTGGTGACAACGCATCTGCATTTTGATTCGCAAACGAGGATAGATGTAGATGTCTATGGGTGATGTCAGGTGGACTGTGTGCTCGTTTGTCAGCCTATCGTATAAAAAAAAAGGTTTTTCGTAACGAATCCAATAGTTTCATTAGTTCATATTTTTGTTAAATTTAACACATCGTCAAGCTGAATACCATACTATTATTATTTCATTTTCTTTTTTATTGGTAAGTTATTATTAATGTGTTACTACAAAAAAGACATACTGCCTTTGAATAACAGAAAAGCTCTCGAAGCGACCAGCCGGCTTATTGTGATACTTTTACTACCTTTACCTGCCATCCTTTGTTTTTGCAATTCTCTTTTTGCTCATTGAACGAACTCCTTAGCCGGTTTTCGTAGCAGCTTCATTGAGTCTGTATTCATATTATACACGTATTTTGAAAGCATTGATGGAACCTGCATATAATATATTGTTTTGTTTAGTGTTGGTATGTATATATCTAATGTGTGTATGTGATTTAGAATAAAATTAATGCTAATTAATCACCATAAATGTCAAATAAGATTTATTTCTATTTGAGCTCGAAATGTTTAAAAACATATCAAATAATTTTATTATTTGACTAAAAAAATGTAACCTTGGTTTTTTTAACATTTTGATAACTACACCGAGGAGTTGGAATTATTTCATTCCACCTTTATCTTCCTTGTCTTCTCACGCAAGTAGGATATGAAAAGCTATTTTCTAGTCTCACATATTTACATTCTAGCACACTATCAGTTATTCATCTGAGGGCGGCATAAGAGAATTCATCACATTTTATTTCGTGTAGTGGGTGTCTTAAGCGAATACTTGAGCGGTATTATCAGTGAGGTCAATGAACAGCAGTGGACTTTTATGGGCTGATGAAAAAGTAGAAGGCGGCCACTTTGACCACACCAATCGATCGAACGTCGTTTGGCCTAAAGGTCTAGATACCAGGCCATAAACTCTAAGAAAAAAATGGATCGAACGTCGATTGATATCATTGATCGACATGGATCGATGTCAATGGATTGTTACTGGTCCATAAATCGTTGTATAATCATCGACCGACGTTGATCGATTGGTGTGGTAACACCCTAAATCAGATGGTATGAAGTTTAACCAAAACCTATTTACACTTGCTTTTATTTGAAAATAAGTTTATTGTTAAAGTTGTTAATGTTACGTCGGAAAAACATCATGATCTACATTTAAAATGCCTCCAACACGAACGATCTGCTCGCATTCAACGTCCTTGAATCCAAAGCCAGTATTTGCAATGTTTGAGCTAAGCCATATTATCGATCCAGCCAGTTGTATGTGGTTGGTGCTCAGCGAGACACGCAACCAGTTCTGTATCAGATGAATGTGAATTTAGAAGTGTCTTACTTTCGAG